GATGTTGTATGTCATCTATATCGATACAGTAAGATAAACCACTCACTTTAAGACCCGCATCAAATAAAAAAGGTGGACAGCTCAACAGAACGAATCAATTTAAAATTCACGACTAGGCGTTTAGCCTAAACTACTCTCTCCCCTATCGTGTTTGTTTAATCACGATACGGCGCTCTCTTAACACTTCCTAATGCCTCGCGACCTTTTTCTAACATTTAGGTTTGAATCGTTCAATTTGTGATGGTTAGCCTCGCATCTTAGAATCGGCACAACATAGCTGCTAATGTCCATTTTTAGCACCAACATCCTCTCGAAACAGAAAAAAAAAATCTCATTTTCCGAGTGTGTACGTGCATTTTCCGCATGTGAACATTTATGATCATATAGTTTTCAAAAATAAACGACATATGAAATTAATGGCACAATACTACCTCAGCATATCAACTGAAATAAAGATGGTATGGCTAAACTTTTTCGAGATATAGGACACCATAATTTTCATTTTTTGTTTCTTCAATTAAACCTATTGGACAAAAAAAAGAATATTTTCTGAGGGGCAAAAAGACGAAAGAAAACCATCCAAAACCAACTATAAATTCTCTACTACATCTTCATTTTCGTTACCATCCCACCGCAAATCCTCCTTCACAGCATATTCTTCTCTCCCTCCACTCCTTTCAAAACATCCATCAGAAGGAAAAGAAAATGGCCAGTTCAGGCCTCGCAAGATTTATCACAGAAGTTGTGCCATGGCGACTTCCATGTGCTACGAGGAGGCAGCACAAACCATGCATCGTTATGGATACGATTCGCGAAGACGGAGAAGAAGAAGAGAGATATGCACATGATCGCTCTTCTGCTTCTTGGACAGTGGCTGCTTCAACTGCTTTGAACCCCATGGTCTACTTCGACCAAGTCCGAACATCTTTTGTTTGTTGTTCGGAAATGACCGTGTTTGTTAGCTGATGGTGACGGTGTGCATCTTCGAGGCACAAGACCTTTCCACCATTTTTGCTCTTCATCTGATAGGATAGGATCAAGGGCTTCTTTCTTGCGATTGTAGAGAGAGAGAGAGAGAGAGAGAGAGAGAGAGAGAGAGAGAGAGTATTTGCTACTTGTCTGTATCAACCTGGGAATCTGGTTTTTTCTTGTAGTCGGGTTGCTCTCTTGTTTCTTTCTTATCTTTGAAGGGCACGTCTCGTATTTCGTCTTCAAGGCAATTGGCTGTGTACTATGTGTAGTGAAAATCTCTCCATTTGTTTCTTCCACTGTTCTTCTTCTTGTTCCCCTTCTTAGGTTACAAAAAAAATATCGACATCAAGAGATTATGATCAGTTCAGCAAAACAATTTTGGAACGTCAATTGCGGAATCCATCACTTTATACAAAACATATGGGGGTCGAGAGCAGATAGAGGACAAAATTGTCTTTGGGAGGACCTCTTCATAAAGTTACAAGAGAAATGATTAAGTGACGGTCCTTAATATAATGTGAGATTAACAGCATGTTATGGACCATAAAAAAATAATAATTATAAATTATTATGGGGCCTATTTCTTCAAAAATTTGTGGCTCGCAACACGTTATTCCCACAATGGCCCAAAGACTATTATGATAGCAAGCCATAGTTACAATTGCAAAGCGCATGTTTGATAACCCATTTAGCAATTAATGAGATTAAGTTTGTTTGATAGCCTTAAATAATTGAGGTAACCGACCAATAGTAATTCTTTTTTCTATGTTTGGTAAGACATTAATAATATTCATCTAATCCTTACCAAAAAAAAAATAATATTCATCTAATAATCTTTAATCATCATCAAGTAACTTTTCGATTTTATTTTCAACACTTAAGATTGTACATATTTAAAATTCAGTACTTATATCTTTCATACTTAATTGTCACTTTCGTCAAAGAAGCCCATAGTTTAAGGCATTGACTGAAATTCATGCTTTGTCTTCATGCTTAACTACACTTAGCAATGGAGTGTATACATGAGAGCCACCATAAGATAAAGCCGAACCATATGTCATGTACCGAGGGAATTGAACAAGCACATTTCTAAAGCTAGAGAATCTATGGTTGTCAACCCTTGAACTGAGACCTTATGTCTTTGTGCCACGTAAGATAGCTGGCGATGATTGGACCACCATGTCACTAATTTCTAGCGAAAATTGATCAAAAAGACTACATCAAAATTTCACGCAAAGATTTAGAATTAAATTGCAAAAATTGAAAATTTTAGAACTAAATTGGCATCTGTACAATAGGTTTATGATTAATTACGTAACTTTCCCGTTCATTCTGTCGTGCATTCTTATGTTCTTTCATGTGTTCAATTGTCATGCCGTAAGTCTGCCATTCATCCTTATTCCATGTTATTCATTCGGTTATCATGTCGTGTACTATTATGTTATGTATGTATTTCTTTGTTATGTGATGAACACTTGCACCATGTCATTTGATTTTCCATAGAGTGCACCCTTATGTTACCCCGTCATGTCATACGCATCCTCATGATATTTCATTTCGATCTTTCTTTACTTGCACCCATACGCTGGGAAAAGTGTTGAAAAAGTCATAAACCTATTGAATTGATGCCAATTTAATCATAAATCTTTTTTTGTGCCAATTCAGTCCTTTCGGCTAATTTTGACCAGATTTTACTTATGTGGATGTCGGTTGGCTTACGTGGCACCGTCGGTGATGACGTTGACAACTTTTAATAATATTTTTCGATTTTTTTCTCTTTTTTTCTCTTTTTTTCTTTTCCTTTCTTCTTCCTCCAGCCGATCACCAGATCGACCCCGGCTGGAGGCCAGGGCCAGCGAGGTCCCTCGCAAACGGCTGGGCGAGGCACAACCTCACTGAATCTGGCAAGGTTGGGCCTCGCCCATGGCCGGCAGGGCTCGACCATTCGACCTCGCCAGATGGCCATGAGGGCGGCCTCACGCTGGTTGGCTAGGGTCGAGCCCCGCCGGCCATGTTGGCGAGGTCGTGCCTTGCCCAGCCGCTAGCAGAGGCCACGAGGTCAAAGGCCACGACCTTGCGGCCACTAGCGAGGGCGAGGCGAGCCTCATCGCCGTCGCTAGCGAGGTCCTTCGCTAGCCCTGGCCTCCAACCGATCGCCAGACCGGCGACCAGCTGGAGAAAGAAGAAAGGAAAAGAAAAGTAAAGTAAAGAAAAGAAAAGAATATTAAAAAATTTTGAAAAATATTAAAATATTATTAAAATTTATTCACATCATCGCCAACAATGCCATGTAAGCCGGCCAGCGTCCCCGTTAGCAAAATCCGATCAAAATTAGCCGGAAGAACTGAATTGGCACAAAGACAAAAGATTTTGGACTGAATTGGCACAAAAAAAAAGATTTATGACTAAATTGGCACCAATGTAATAGGCTTAAGACTTTTCTGACACTTTTCCCCTGTATGCTACGTCGTTTCGTTCAGTGATATGTCGCATGCTTCCTTAATTATGTTATCATTTGCTTATCTTGCCGTGCGTCCTTATATCATGTCATTTGTTTGTCATGTCACGCGCATTTTTGGTATGCCATTTATATAATTTGTCGTGCTGTCTTACGTCACGCCATTTGTTGTTTGCGCATCCTCACGCTCTGACATATTCACCATAACGTGTCATATCATTCTATTAGTCATTCATATCCTGCATTGGATTCATGCAATGCACATCTACGACAATTCAAAGATCGCGCACAGAACAACAGAGTCAGGTCGTTATTCGCCTGCTGATGCGGTGATTTTACCGAATAACTATGGGAAAAAATTCTATAAGGGATTTCAATGAATGCAAAAGTGCAAGAGAATATAAGAACTATTATATGATGTAATCCTATTCGTGCACTACATATGGAATTTATAGGCGATGTTGATGCATTTACCCACATATTGCCTATATATTAAAGAGGTGTGCACGGCAACCAAACTGACCCAAGAACCGGATCGGACCGAATTAGCCAGTTCTGGGTGGTCCCTGGTTTTAAGAATTGGACCGGGAAATAATCGGCCCAATTCCCAATTCTAGATGCGGAATCAATCCACCCAAACCGAACCGATATGTTTTTTTTTTTCCTTTTCTGTATTCTTTATAGAAAAGGAAATTGCCAAAATCCTAATTGGACCGGTCCAACCCGGGAACCAATCCGGTTCCCGGTTCCAGGAACTTCGGAACTAGCCCAATCCGAGATCTGATTATCCTACTATGCATGAAAACTTTAGCAACTTGATATAGTTACCAAAACAGCAGCATGTAAGATATCAGAGAAGCTACGATGATTGCTTCTTCTTGTAGCCAACTTAATTGGGCCTTTGGGTGTCAAGCTGAAACTGTACAAAGTCATATACAAAAGTAGAGAAAGACATGGTTCTTTCTCGGAGAGCTTGTCCCCATTTCAATTGGATTCTTTAGTGGTTCCAAAATCGCAGGGCGTGATCTACACTAGACTTTTTTATACTCATATCAAGCTCTTAGAGTTTCAATACATGGGTAATATAGATTTGATCTTAATATCTTGGTCACTATATGAAAGACCACACAAATTCTCACCTATAGCATCTCGAATGGACGATGCTATATATTTGCATTTACATCAATGGGAGGAAAAGTGCATCATAAGATGAACAGCAGCGGCAAGCCCCATGGTTTTCGAATCTGTTGACAAAACCATCAGAAGATCAGCTCCTTATCAGCCGTGCAAGAAGGCCTAATTTAGCTCAGTCGTACATTTAGGGCACATAAGGTGAGGTCCATAATAGAGTGAAAGAAGTAGGAGGTCATATTGATGAAGGTTCTCTTATCCTTGAAGGTTTGATTACAATGTTCAAAAACAACTAACATTGACTTGCATGGCAATGGACATCATAAAGAAGGCAAAAAATGTACATTGTATAATCAGTAAAGACAAATAATTGATTACAACTAGACTATCTAGTTGACAAAACCTCCAGAAGCAGATATCTCCTATCAAAATTTTTGCATTTTTCTTTGCTTATGGAGCCTTTGATCCAAGCTTGCGCTTTCTGGACGTTTCCGATTCAACTGCCTGTTTTAATTTCTCGAGTGCTGACATAGAAGAAATAAAAACAAACTAAGCTCATATAAAAAAAATTCCATCAGTAGCCCATCAACCAGACACTTATGATTAGATCAAATAAGCATATAGCACAAAAACCCAAAAAAGCCTGCTGAATTCCTGTTGTCATCATTCTATTATCACACCATGCACTACAAAAGACGGAAAAATCAAAAATGCCCACAGTACACAAAATAAGTAAATAGCAGGTAGGTCAAATGTTAATTTGTCATGGCCAGAAAACAAATCTTAAGTTGTCAAGCAGCATCTGTTTTGTGACAGATTGAATCAACAGATTACCTGATGTGTATAAACTGCGAAATGATTCGACTGAGCTGGCAGGAAGTGAGTAAACAGGGCAAGAGTTGTTGTCAGCTTTCTGTAACATCTTCTTGAAACGCTTGACCTAATAAGTGGAAATGGATCCAACAAAATCAAACACCATCAGATTAGTACCTTTGAGAAGCTTAAAATCTCCATAGTAGCAAGACCTAGGAAATTAACATATCTCTTGATTGATCAACATGTCTACATAACTTCAATACTGAGATGCGACTTGCGATATTGAGACTCGTAAAAACTCGCTAAATCATAAGCAGACAAGAATGGGCATGTGTATGTGTGCCTTTACAATCAGAGTTTTATGGTGTTTGCTTGTCCACAAAAAGTTCCTTCCCCCAACAGATATGACAAAGACAATATGGTAAACCAACTAGTGTAAGCAAACATGCTCATGTAAAAAAAAACCACTCATGGAAATGTGACCAAACTTTCACGTCCAAGATCTTGTTGCTTGTCCGTGAAAACCTTCTTTTTTCAGAAGATTTTGTTTCAGAATGAAAAGATGAAATGGCTTTAAGTAAAGCAGAAACTGTGAGGACATGATGGTAAAGCAAATTTACAACAACAGCTTTCATGGATTCTCCGGAATGGCATAAAAATAACAGAGAATTTTGTAGGTTCTGTTTTTAATGGACACTCTGATTCTCATAAACATTGCAAGGGGTATCAAAGTCAAGCAAAACCAAGCCACATGAACGTGCCTGCCCTGAGTCCCAGAATCATAGAATGATAGGAAATAAGAATGAAATTATGTGCTGTGAACAAATAACATACATGCAAGTAGGTTCAGACTCTCTCTCTCTCTCTCTCACCACGCCCACCCCCCCCCCCCCCCCCCCCATACAGACTTGTCACAATCTATCTCCGAGGAATAGAAAACACAAGAAAATAGCCTACCTCATCTTTACGCAACAAAGTGAAGCATCGACCAGTCTGGCCAGCTCTGGCCGTACGGCCTGCCCGATGTATGTATGTCTTTATATACGGAGGCATTTCGTAATTGATGACATTCCTCACCCCTTCAACATCCATTCCACGTGTCATTGCATCAGAGGAAACAAGAACCTGTACATCTCCATCTCGGAATGCTTTCAGGGTTTTACTGCAAGACAGACGTTTACACGTTACTAAAAAATGCAAAAGAAAACAGACTTTTAACTATATTGATTCCATAAACATAAAAGAGCAAGCCAAAGATGCACATATTCAAATACTAGCAGTGTTATGCAGCTAACAGAATCATGCAAGATAATATTTGTTCAAAAATTGACGTTTCTACAAGTTATGACGAAGATAGACTTTGCAACTCAAATTAAGAGTCCTAGAAGAATCTTGATTCTTCTTCAAGTTTAATTAGTGAAGTCATCTATTAGGATTTGTGTATTTTTAGGATTTTCAGTTGGAGTAGTAGGATGTTGTTTTCACTATTTCAACTAATTTTTCTTGTCTAGAGCTTTCCTATTTCAACTAGGAGTAGAACTTTTAGGGAATCTATAAATATCGTTGTAATTATTTCTTTTGAATAGAGTTGGTGAATTATTGCATTTTGCAAGTATTTGCTTTGGGACTCTGATGCAATTCTTCTCTGGTCGGGTCGGAGGCGAAGATTGGCAAAGTTCATCATTCAGCAGTGGGGTCTTAAGCATGATGCTTAAGAAACCCAAGGTTTGATGCTTAGGAAGCTTTCGTTCTGAAGCCTAAAGATTAATTCTTTACTTTGGGACTCTTTCTCCTACATCACACTGCTTCCTTTCCATTTCTTTCAACTGGCATTTTTGCTTTATATCTCACTTATGTTCAATCTTCACCCATATCATAGCCTTCAAGTCAGCAATACAGGTAATGAAATAATATGATTATTAATATATTTGGTAGACATTTAGAGTTCAAGTTCATCTTTCAAATGAAAATTCTTTTTCAGCACCCTGATTTGGCCAGAGTTGTGCAGCTTTCTCAAGAGTTCATGGCTTGTCCAACAACTCCCAAGATGTTGTGTTTCTTCTTCTGTTATCCAGAGAGGAAATTCTCTTAACTTCCTTCTATTCATCATACTTTGTTACATTGATCTCTGTTGCTATGTGATCCTAGGGCTCCACTTACTTGATACTTAACATTTCTTTCAGACAATGAACTCTGATTTACAAGTGAATGAACCATTTCATTTAACATGTACAAAGGGTAAAAATAGGGTGATCACGCATCAAAGTTCATTGCAATACCCTCTATAATATGTATGTTTTTTTTTTGGTCTAAAGATATTATGTATTTGACTGAGGTACTATCCTAACTCCGAAGTTCTATCTCTAAAAGCTTAAGTCCAAAAGTCCGATTCATATTGCACTTTCAATGACTTCACTTGTTATACATCCAATCATATTGCTTCATGATCTGTACATGCATATTAACTTTTCTGTAGTTGTCAAACTTGACTAGGATACACATGGAAAACTTTTATGTAAGAGACTGTTATCCATAGTATGGATGAGCTTAGTGATCTCAAGCAAGCAACTGGTTTATTTTATTTCATACAGAGCACATTTATTGTCCATGAGTTATGGTTCATTTTTATCCTTAGAGGAATATGCAGAGTCATGCATTAAAACTCTTTTGGTCCTTAAATCAAGAGATAGGGTGAAGATGGAAGGAAATCGGTTGGAAACACCAATCAAAGTATAGTATGAAATGCAAGATGTCGCTGAATGTTCTTTAAGATTTGCACAAGTCAAATGCAGATGCCTTATTGCTCATATGTTGAGAGGTGTATTAGCCTTTAGCTTCTTCTAAAATTGTAAATTTAATTTCACATGCTAACAGAAACTGTCTTTGGGCTGCATATGATATTTCAAATAATTCCTGTATGATTTAATAATATCACTAGTAACTACAACCCACATGCAACGCTTATGTATACACTACTAACATAAAAGATAAGGCATTACCTTCTCACAGACTGACGTTGAAGACCGGAATACTCTTTGATCTTGAGTGGCAAGTCAGTAAAAAAATTTAGTAAAGTGCATAAACGATGAGTTGACTCCACAGATGAAGTGAACACAATGCATTTCTCTCCTCCTAAATTTTGCAGAAGGGCAACCAAGTAGATGGGTTTGAGCTTTGATTGACATATCTGCACATATATCAATGCATTACACATGCATGCACCCCAAAACATCAGTCAACAGATAGATCGACTTTACGGGAAATAGCAGTAATAGTAATTTCCAATTAATAGAACACGACAAACGCACATGCACCTGACATAAGGAATCAATTAGAACAGAACAGAATATGAGTGGTTCAAATTGTCTTTCTCGGCAATCCACATACAGCAATCAAGGAACCAATCGATGCCAGTGAAAGGCAAAGAATTTAAACTCTTATCAAAGTAAACAAGATAATATCCTGAAAACAATTAAACTGGATATCCAAGACCAAGGTGAGAAACAAAGGAGTCATATGCAGAACAGGGATGCAATTGAAAATATAAGGAACAGCTATTCTTAAGATATGAATACCAGAGGCATGAGGTGAGAAATGAAGCACAGACTCATGACCTTTAGTAATTTTCAAGCAAAGGCATCATAGACATCCGGCTACCTAAATGGAATGATTCAATATGAGAAAAATTGAGTATAGCAGTGTAGGTATCGGGAGAGTTTCTTTCTTATCTCTGATGCTAATACAAGATTCTGTCTACTAAAGTATAACAGCAGTTAGCAAACTCGTGGGGGTTCAAGTCATAACATTTAAATTAAACAGAACCAAGCCACTAGAAAAGAAAATCTACAAAAATATAGCAATGTCAAAAGAATGTAATATATCAAGATTCGTGGAGTATTCTGCATCTTTGAATTACCAAACATTAAAATAGGCAGAGATCACAATTCCTTTAATTAAGAAAAGTGCACATAGGAAGGACAAGAAGAAATGAATAATCCCAAAGACCAACGAGTTAAAAGATTTTAAAAAGGGCACGAATGATAAATAACAGCAATTCTTCATCTTAGGCTTTATCTTCTCTTTGCAGATCTAAAAAAGGGCATCAATGAAAATTAAAGCGATTCCTCATCTGATGCGTTATCTTCTCTCTTAGCGAAGCTCTAGCTGTGCTCATCCTGAAATAGGAAAGCTCCCTGACTTGTCCTTTGTCTCTCTCCTTAAAAATTACTGCTCTCAATATAACTTATTGAAGTTCTGATTAATTTTACTTTTAGAAGAATAAGATAGTCTATGGATGCAGTCTCCAATCAAAGGTCAACTAAGAAAACTTCTATAATAAAATTATCATAATAAACAACACTGAAAAGAAACAACCAATCCTTATCCCACTAAGAGGAATTAGCTAGATGAATCCTTTTGCACAATTTCCCTCGATTCTATATCTTCTGTCAGATCTAAGTACCCCATATCATCTTCTGCCATTACCTTTTAGACTTTCCCTTGCCCCTTCTAACAATCACAATACTATAGTTGCATCTTCTCGCCAAAAGACCTTTGCTTCATCATTATTTCATTGTAGTGTATTCACATCATTTTGTCCTATTAATAATATATACATACCAGATATAAAGTCCCACAGTTCACAATTGCTAATCCTTGCCCATCTTTTTCTTCAAATTCAAAACATTGCAACTGCAGCTTCTATAAGAAATTAAAGCTAGAATGCAATCATGAAAACGTACAAAAGAGCTAGGTCTACTACTCCAAAGTCCAAATCAGTCAAATTCACTGAAGGAAGCTTCCCATTGAACTGGTGCCTTGCCCCTTGACATATAATTCATATATCAAGGAATAAGCAAGAGCCTTATCATCCCATAAGGACTTGATATCAAAGGTTCTTGTAATGGACACGTACCAGTTTATATGATTCCAACTTTTCCGGAAAACGGTAACGCCTTTGACCGGCCGACAAGAACAAAGGGTGATGCAAATCCAGTTGAGACAGCTTGCTTGGATCCTGGGTCAGCGTAGCTGACAGAACCATCTTCACCAACCTAGGATAAGACTTACCCTTGAAACCACGCTCAATTCCACTGCAACAGTATGAAGCATAGAAACTCCATTAGTGAATGCCAAACAGGGGATTTTTTTGCGACTTTATATGTCTGATTAATACAAAACCATTCAAATCCAAAGAGGTGCGTGAAACTTCAAGGAAAAATGTATCCAGATCAGTTAGGGGACCAAAAGTGGACTTGACCCTTCTTGACTAAACACAAGCAATGCAAATATTGTTCAAGGAAAAACTGTCCAATACAAGAAAGTTCAATAGCATCTCAGCAAAACCTAAGCTATTCATGTGATTATAGCCACTAGAAGAAAGATTTATACAACATACCATCTCCTCATGGTTCTCAAGGAACCAAACACAGGACAAAGATCAGAATTTGAATTCGAGAGCCCTTCATTGTTCGAATTAGTCATTTGAAGCACTGTAGGCAGCCATGATTGATAGGATTCTCTGAGCAATCTATCAGTTTCGTCAACAACCTGAGATGTTTGTTCTATCAGCATATTAGAATTTATATTCCAAACAATAGAATTTGATGGAAATAAAATGGACAATAGAATTCCACATGTAAAGAAGACAGGTCAACCCTAGCACTTACGCCATCTTGCATGTAATTGTGACTTTTATTGAATCTCGACTAGTTACTTTTAAGATATCAGCAAAAACTAGTGAAGTGCCGAGATCCTATGGTTGATGCAGTCAATTAGAATTCAAAACAGGAGTCAAAGTACAAATAAGTATAATCTTGACATCAAATTCAATTAGGACCATGACCTTTTCCTTAAATTTAGTGCACGCAAAAAAGCAAGTTCTTCTTACATGATACCCAGAGTCATTACTGGACAAGGCAGGATAACAAATTATTGCAGCAAAAGATGATAGATGTTATTGTCATCAAAAGTTGAAAAGCCTTTAAGAGGAGACAGGTGCAAGTGATACAGCAATGAATTTAGCAGAATTCTTTACAAATTTCAAAAGAAAACTAAATGACGATTTAGGCCCCGCAAAACAAAGATAAAGTACATCGAATTGTCATTAACCATCTTTTATGTTCAATAAAAAAAAGAAAGAGAAACAAATTTTCCTTTATATGCAAGCTGGTTTTTTCCCTCCAAATCCCAGCCTGGCCCCACCTAAAAAACAAAGAAGGAAAGATAAAAGGAAGATGAAGCAGTTCTTCTTTAGGTTTTCTTTGATTTATTCCCAAAATACATCCAACTTTGGAAACTCATGATGGGATGGATGCTTACAAGGTTGTCAAGTATCACTTTTCCATAAAGAATTAATGGAGAGACCATAAGATCCATTGAAATCGTAAAATTCAAAACTCTTAAAAGAGTTTTAGGCTTAGACACCTTACGGTTAAAGTGATGCATGATAAATGGAAGCCACCACAGATAAACAAATTCCAAATAAGCTTGACACTATAAAACAAAAATGGATCAACCAATGGTGCATCTGGTCTTCTCATCTCCACCATCCTCATCAAAAGCATAATTATTGACATGTAACCTTCATTAAGATCCCCGAAACAACCAGTTTTATTTGCTATCCAACCTCCAAGATCTTTCAAATCGCAATGGTCATTGATTTTCTTGCTAGTTGACCACATCATGGACTTAAACATCATTGTGGGTTTTAGTCTCAATTGGTCTTGGTGGTGAAGAGGCTAGGGCAATTGTATGATTGGCTGATTGGTTTTTAAGTTTTAATGGGTTTTGCATAGTAGACCAATTTCACATTATAACATAAATTTCAAAAAGTGATAAGTGATTTTGTATGATCCAACAAACTGGCAACTTTAAACAAGGGTAGCATAGCTAGTGATTTTAAATTGACACGAGTAAAAGCAACAACTCAAAATTGTATCAACCACAGCTTAGAGGATGGATCGCTAGTTCATGCTCCATTTATCACTCCATTAGGAATGCCCAAAACTTGGCACATGTGCTTCTCCACATTATACAAGCAGAAGCTAATAATTCTATCAGACACTAGGAGACAGAATTCACTCTCTCTTGCAAATTCAGGATAACACAACTCTATAAAAGCATGTAGATTCAATCAGGCCTATAAAAGTTCGGACAGTAAGCAGAGACCGCATTAGGAACTCCATCTCACGATAAAAAATCTGCAATTTATTCAAAACAAATGCATACCAGATAGCAGAGATGCTCCAGAGTAAATCCATGAGTGGAATTAATATGATCCACGAGCCTTCCTGGGGTTGCCACCAGTATATCCACAGCACTTTGTCGCTCAGGTGGAGGACCTTCAGGGTCATAGCAGATGCCTGCCTGAAGCTTCGGTCTCTTTATAAGGTCAGCTATTTCATCAGCAATCGAAGACTGACCAACTGCCAAACCAACAGATAAACCAACAGGAGGTGCAATTGCATCAAAAACTTCTTTAACCTGAAGAAAAAGAAAGAATAATGGTATATATCCAGGAGTGACAAATTTGATCGTTCTATTTGGCCTACTTTGGAAATGAATGACAAAACTTATTAAAAAGCTTCCACAGAGATTGCCAATCTATGAAGAAACTAAATGCAGACAAGGCATTCATGTATCTGGAAATGGCAGATCCACGATATACATTAGATAGCATAATAATCCAGCTCTACAGAAGCACTGGCAACAAAATCAAAAGTAGGTCTCTAACCTGCAATGCTAAGTCTCGAGTAGGTAAAACCACCAATGCACGTAGACATTTTACAGCACGAGTGGATAAAACCTGCACGATTGGCAAAGCATATGCCAAAGTTTTCCCACTTCCTGTCGGTGAATTGACACAAAGATCTCGCTCAAAAGCACCAGGCCCTATTGTCTCTTGCCAGAAACCAACTTGGACAGGGAATAGTGAAGAAATGCCCATGTTCTGCAATGCCCCCTTCAACCTAATTTTGAAAAGTAAACAACAATTAAAATAATAGAGAGAATAACATGAGAGAACATAATGCTAGAACAATGACTGCACAGGCCCTCTGAGAATCACATGATTCTTAGCTTGTCTAAGGTGGCATGAGCTATGCCAAGTCATGCCATCCAGCTTTTTAACTGTTGGAAAATGCCTATAGAGGAGGCTCAACTTCTAAGAAGTCACAAGTGCAGCACCAATTTATCTCAAGTTTTGCATATGGAAGGAACTCCAACAAAAGATTGTTTAAGGGTTTATAATCTCCAGTTGTTTCTATGTTGTTATCTTTAATTCGGCTCTGGACATCTTGTTCTGACTCCACATAGTCTTGTGATGTTTCTCTTTGCTTTTCGTTTTTCTTTCTTTCTTTCTTTCTTTCCTTTTACATTTCTGTTGTACTTGAATTTTGAAGCTATTTTAAATCCTTTATTATGCATCAAGACAAATATATATATACACAGAGCTCAGTGGATTAATTAAATTGAAGGCCTCTTCATGTACTTTAGCTAAATTTTCTAATGTATCCACAAAGATTAACTGAAGAAAGTGATAAATATAAACTAATGTTTGAAAAAAGAGAATTCTAGCATCAAAGTTACGTCTGATCACAGCAACCAAAATTGCCATTTCAGTGGTTCAACCATTTAGCATATTTCAAGGCTCGAGCTTTTTCTATCAGAACAATAACCCAGATCCTGTTTTGTCCTTATAATCTTCAAGGACTTCTCCAAGAAAGGTTGCAAGCTCACTGATGCAGCAGAATCCTATTCCACTGCTCATAGAAAGGAAGATGGAGATGCACTCCTCATGTTCATCTAAGCCCACTTTTTCTTTCCCGTTTCAGAACCATTTCATTAATCTATCTCTCCTAGACACTTATCAGCATCCTTTTATTCCGGCATCATTGATCCAAACGAAGGAGCACACAGAACACAATTTTCAACACCTCCCACCTTAAAGATCTCTAATGAAAAAGGAAAAGTACCAAAAATTTTCAGTGAGCCTTTTTCATGAATTTCGAAATCACTGTGCCAGTACAAACTCAAATCCCTTTCAGCTATATAACTTTCTAAACTAACTACGATTACAACAGACAGCTCCGACAAAACCAAAGCTTTTCTACTACCAATTCTCCCGTGCACATCAAGAAGACGCACAGAACCTCGTACTCAGCCATAGAACTACCTGGGATCAAGACAAGGGACGAGGTCGAGCGAGCATTCTTTGAAAAGACTGACATCGACCGGGCTCCTCATCCATGGCAAAGCAGGCACGCTCCTTGGCCTCTCCTCCCCCATTAGCTCGAAACCCTATAGCAAACCCTAAACAGCCGCCGCTCAAGAACTCTGCACAGTCGAAACCCCTCTCTCTCTCTCTGATCGGAGCTCGGATACAGAGCCGCCGCCGCCGCCGCCGCCGCCGCTCCTGCTCCTGGGTCGCTGGACCTGCGATTAAGTTTGAGCGCGCGCGCTCTCGCTCTCACTGAATGTTTTTCTTCTAAACGAAAAAGGCGGAAGTCTAAATTTATGCTATAATGTTAAATGTAAAATATAAAGAGCCGATAATACAAAGAAGTTTATAATTGTGGTTTTTATATAACAAAGGGAGAGTTTATAGGTAATCAATAGTAGTGTTGTAAATACTTAGAGAAAATAATAAAAATTGTCAAAGGAAATGCTTAGTTGGAAGATTTACGCGGTATATTCATTAAGAGCATCAATAGGAAGTACTCTATATTAAATATTTTATATTATGGTTGATACCTCAAAAAATCCCCAAACTGGTATACATATGACAAATTTATCCCAAACTAATTTTTTGACCATCAAAAACCTCAAACTGGTACACTTATGACAAATTTACTCTCCGTTAATTGGATTAATATAACGAAAAATCATAAACTTGTAAATCTATGACAAACAGAGGGGTAAAACCCTAAACTAGTATACCCGTCAACTGTCACATATCATCCAACTTAGCAATTTGACGATAAAATTTAACGAAAACTAACGAAAGGTAAATTTGCCACAGGTGTACCAGTTTGGGATTTTTCGAGGTATTAACCCTTTATATTAATAGTTGAAAGGAAATATATGATCCTGGAAAATAATCAATGACATTTCTTCATTGGCCCACATCATGCATCATGGGAGGTAAGCTTACTTATCAAGGAAGCCTTAGCCCGGCTAAAGCACTTTTCAGTGGCCCATTGCAATCGAGAAGCAAACGATGTGGCGGACTGGGTTGCCAAAGTCCAACGTAAGAAAAGCCTTCCTCCAAATTGGACCTAATATCCCTCTTAAGCCCTTTGGCCTCTTGTTTGTTATGAAGCTGTGACTATGCGCCCTCAAACTTTATCCAGGAAAAGTACCAAAAAAGTCATAAACCTATTACATTGGTACTAATTCAGTCATAAACATTTCAATTAGACTAATTTAGTCTTAAACCTTTTCGCATTGATATCAATTCAATCCATCTGGCCAATTTAAATCGGAAACCGCTAATATGGACACCGGCGGACCTACGTAGCACAGTTGGCACTGACATAGACAAATTTTATAATTTTTTTAATAATTTTTCAAATTTTTTAATGTTTTTTTCTTTTTTTCTCTTTTCTTTTATTTGTTTTTTTCTTTTTCTATACACTATGGGTCGGCGAGGTCGCCGGCTGACCATCGCCAGCCACAAGCTGGTTTGGGCGAGGGCCATCGTGCCCTTGCCAACCAACGAGCGAGGGTTTCGGCCCTTGCCCAGACCAGGTGAGGGTGGCGACCCTCACCTGTGGCCAACGACCTCGCTAGACAACAATGTATAGAAGAAGAAAACAGAAAGAAAAGAAAGAGGAAAAAAAACAACAAAAACAATAAAAAAATTCTGAAAAAAAGATAAAAAAATTATAAATTTTGTCAACATCAGCACCGGCCGTACCACGTAGAATCGTCGGCGTTCACATTAGCGATTTCTAACTTAAGTTGGCCGGATAGACTGAATTGGTACCAATGAGAAAAGGTTTATGACTGAATTGATCAAATTGAAAAGTTTTGGACTGAATTGGTACAAATACAATAAGTTTGGGACTTTTTTTGGTACTTTTACCAACTTTATCCTAACGATTGAGAACTATATTTCCGGCAAAACAAAAATTTACAAAATGAGAAGGTATCTTAAAGATCCAAAAGGTTATTTACAATCTTCAAAAATCATCCATGATACAATGGCATCACTAATAAAAGAGTTTGAAAGTTTCATGCAGTTCTATGAATTGCAAAAGGCCTCCACACATAAACCCTAATTGTTCTCACCGCACAGGAAGAAAGGCAAGAAGAAGCCTTGAGAGTTGAGAGCACGATCTAGAGCAATATAAAATAGGAGTAAAAAGTGGCGATGACGCAGAAGAGCCAACCTCCACTTCATGGCCATTGGCCAAATAAAATAACCTAAAGATGACGACCTTATCTATGATGAAATGCACGACATGTTGAAAAGGAAGTCACAAATAATTTAAGGAAGTCAAGTAATGCACTGTCTGACCAAAAAAAAAAAGTAATGCACTGCAAAAAATAGTTCTATTGAGGCTCTGTTTATTTCATGGAAAATAAATGATTATGAAAATATTTTCTTAAAAATGATAATTTATATCTATTTAAAAAATAAATGAGTAAAAAATATTTTCATCTTCTACAAAAATGTTTAGATATAAATTGTTGTCGACAATAATAACATTTTTCTAAGCTAATTTCAAGCGATACAAGTGTTCATTTTCAGAAAAAAAAAACTTTCAAATCATTTATTTTTTGCGAAACAAAAGGAACATTAAAAGAAATACAATCTACGGCAAAAGAAAAGTGCTTCTTTTAAAAAGGAAGTCATAATAATTTAAGATAGTTTTCCTTGAACTCGAGCAATTTGAAAAGGATTTTAATGTGTTAAATACTGGAAAAGTACCAAAAAAATTATAAACCTATTGCATTGATACAAATTCAATCATAAACCTTTCAATATGACCAATTTAGTTCTAAACATTTTCACATTTGTACTAATTGATTCCATCGGCCAATTTAGGCCAAAAATTGTTGACGTAAATGCTAATTGTCCTACGTGGTACGATTGGCGCTGACGTAGATATATTTTTATTTTTTTAAAATATTTTTTTCCTTTTTATTTCTTTTTCTCTTTTTTTTTTCTCTTCTTCCATGGCTTGTGCTAGCCCTCAGCAGCCATGGCCTGTATTAGTGCAGGCCATGGAAGAAAAAAGAAAGAAATGAAATGTACCCAAAAAAAGTCCTCACCAGCCATGGCTTGTGCTAGCCCTCACCAGCCATGGCCTGTATTAGTGCACGGTTGAAACCCCTTTCTCTCTCTCTCTGATCGGAGCTCGGATACAAAGCCGCCGCCGCCGCTCCTGGGTCGCTTGACCTGCGATTAAGTCGGAGCGCGCGCGCTCTCGCTCTCACTGAATGTTTTTGTTTTAAAGGAAAAAAGCGAAAGTCCAAATTTATGCTATAATGTCAAATGTAAAATATAAAGAGCCGATAATGCATAGGAGTTTATAATTGTGGTTTTTGTATAACAAAGGGAGATTTTATAGGTTATCAATAGTAGTATTGTAAATACTTAGAGAAAATAATGAAAATTGTCGAAGGAAATACTTAATAGGAAGATTTATGCGGTATATTCAATAAGAGCAGCAATAGGAACTACTCTATGTTTTAGCAAAAAAAAAAAAGGAAGTACTCTATATTAAATATTTTATATTATGGTTAATATCTCGAAAAACCCAAAACTGATATACATGTGATAAATTTAGCCCAAACTAATTTTTTGACCACCAAAAATCTCAAACTGATACACTTATGACAAATTTACTCTCCGTTAAATTGGATTAATATCACGAAAAATCATACACTGGTAAATATGTGATAAACAAAGGGGTAAAACCCTAAACTAGTACACCTGTTAACTCTTATATGTTATCCAACCTAGCAATTTAATGATAAAATTTAACGAAAACTAATAGAGGGTAAATTTGCCACAGGTATATCAGTTTTGGGTTTTTTGAGGTATTAACTCTTTATATTAATAGTTGAAAGGAAATATACGATCCCGGAAAATAATCAATGACATTTCTTCATTTGCCCACATCAAGCATCATGGGAGGTAAGCTTACTTATCAAGGAAGCATTAGCCTAGCTAAAGCACTTTCCAAACTTTAAAGCGGCCCATTGTAATCGAGAAGTAAACGATATGGCAGATTGAATTACCAAAGCCCAACGAAAGAAAAGCCTTCTTCCAAATTAGATCTTAGATCCCTCTCAAGCCCTTTGGCCTCTTGTTTGTTCTGAAGCTGTGACTATGCGCACTCAAACTTTATCCAGGAAAAGTACCAAAAAAGTCATAAACTTGTTACATTGATACTAATTCTGCCATAAACCTTTCAATTAAACTAATTTACTGTTAAACTTTTTCGTATTGGTATCAATTCAATCTATCTGGCCAATTTAAACTGGAATCGCTAACATGGACACCGACGGAACTACGTGGCACAGTTGGCACCAACGTGGATAAAATTTATGATTTTTTAATAATTTTTCAAAAATTGTAATGTTTTTTTTTCTCTTTTCTTTTTTTTCTTTTTTCTTTTTCTATATACTATGGGTCGGCGAGGTCGCCGGCCGACCATCACCGACCACAAGCTGGTTTGGGCGAGGGCCACCGTGCCCTCACCCGCCACGAGCGAGGGCCTCTGCGCCCTTGCTAACCAACGAGCAAGGGTTTCGACCCTTACCCAGACTAGGTGAGGGTGTGGCCGGCGACCTCGCTAGACAACAGTGCATAGAAAAAGAAAACATAAAGAAAAGAAAAGAGAAAAAAAAAACAATAACAAATTCTGAAAAAAATATATATAAAAAATTATAAATCTTGTTCACGTCTGCACCGGCTGTACCACATAGAACCGTCGGCGTCCACGTCAGTGATTTCCGACTTAAGTTGGCCGGATGAACTAAATTTGTACCAATGAGAAAAGGTGTATGACTGAATTGTTCCAATTGAAAGGTTTTGGACTGAATTAGTACCAATGCAATAAGTTTGTGACTTTTTTGGTAATTTTACCAACTTTATCCTAACAATTGAGAACTATATTTCCTGCAAAACAAAAATTTACAAAATGAGAAGGTATCTTAGAGATCCAAAAGGTCATTTACAATCTTCAAAAATCATCCATGATACAATGGCCTCACTAATAAAAGAGTTTGAAAGTTTCATGCAGTTCTATGAATTGCAAAAGGCCTCCACACATAAACCCTAAGGCTGCGTTTGGTCGTCCGGATTTCTAAACAGGATAGGACTGGATAGGATAGGATAAGAAAATCCTGGGATTTCTTCATATCCTATCCACTGTTTGGTGGACTACGGATTTAAAGTCGGATAGGATAATTTTTTTTTTTTTTTGCTATT